CTCTTTCCACATAAGTGTAGGATGTTCTACAGTGTTTATTACAAGCATATTTTCCAGTGACTCATGCAATGTGGCTTCCAAGACATCTTCTGGAGAACTGAGTGCTCTACTGTCCATTAGACCTTACTGAAGTACTTTTTTCCTGAAAATAATTCTAAACTTTTTATTGCTTTTGTTTGTTCCATGCCTCTTATATCAGACAATTAGACACTCTGCTGCTTTTTGCGATACTGGAATACAGTCTGGGTTCACACCTATTATCTCTGCTTTTAACTTTAATTTGACCAGGCTAAGGGCATTTTATTCTTGACACCAACGCTTATGAATTACGTCTATGCAGTTCTTTAGTAATTTCTTTCTTTTTTTTTTCCATTAATGAGATTTGTGCTGAGATGTTCAGAACTGTATAGTATTACATCAAAAAAAAACCCTAAGGATAAAGATGAAAAGCAGAGATGTGTGTGAAGTTTTAACCTCTTACTCTTAGTATCCTTACCTTGTAACTGTTAACTTTTTTGCACTTTATTTAAGAAGTACTTCTTTGGCTAAGAAGTTATTGTACATAAAATCAGCGCTGGGAAATTCATGCTAAGTGTATAATTTACCATTTCAAGAGCAAGCTATCCCACTTGTGTTCATCTGCCCAAGTTGTCCTTACCTGAAAGACATTTTGGTAAGGAAAGAGGAATTCTAAGAGAAAATTTTGTTTCAAAATGAGAACCATTTCTCAGCCAGACCACACACATATTGCTGGGGTAAGGCATGTAAACCTACAGAAGCAAGTGCAAGTTCATTCACACAAGTAGCAACACCATGGTGTGACATTTCAGGTTTATCTACCATGAAAGCACGTCAGGTTAACTGAATGTTTAGGCATTGGCAGGAGCACACCGAAAGAAGAGTCAATCATCCTGTAGTCACTGAAGCCAAGTGTCATTTCACCTTTTGTATTGGGTTTGCATGGCAAGGTTTTGGTAGCGGGGTGGGGCTACAAGGGTGGCTTCTGTGAGAAGCTGCTAGAAGCGTCCCCTGTGTCCGATAGAGCCAATGCAGCTGTCTCCAAGATGGACCCGCTGCTGACCAAGGCCGAGCCAATCACCATTGGTGCTAGTGCTTCTGCGATAATATATTTAAGAACGAGGAAAAATGTGGTGCACAACAGCAGCAGACAGAGAGAGGAGTGAGAATACGTGAGAGCAACCACTCTGCAGACACCAGGGGCAGTGAAGAAGGAGGGGAGGAGGTGATCCAGGCACCAGAGTAGAGATTCCCCTGTAGCCTGTGGTGAAGACCACAGTGAGGCAGGTTGTCCCCCTGCAGACCATGGAGGTTAATAGTATCCACCTGCAGCTCATGGAGGACCCCATACCAGAACAGGTGGATGCCCAAAGAAGGCTGTGAACCAGTGAAAAGCCCATGCTGAAGCAGGTTCCTGGTAGGACCTGTGGCCCCATGGAGAGATGAGCCCATGCTGGAGCAGGTCTGCTGGCAGGACTTGTGACCCTGTGGGGGACCCATGCTGGAGCAGTCTATTCCTGAAGTACTGCACCCTGTGGATGGACCCATGCTGGAGCAGTTCATGAAGAACTGCAGCCCGTGGGAAGGACTCATATTGGAGAAGTTTGTGGAGGACTGTCTCCTGTGGGAGGGATCCCATGCTGCAACAGGGGAAGAGTGTGAGGAGGAAGGAGCAGCAGAGACAACGTGTGATGAACTGACCACAACCCACATTTCCTGTTCCCCTGCCCGGCTTGGGGTGAGGAGGTGGAGAATTCGGGCGTAAAATTAAGCCCAAGAAGAAGGGAGGGGTAGGGGGAAGGTGTTTTAAGATTTAGTTTTTATTTTCTCATTATCCTCCTCTGATTTGGTTGGTAATAGATTGAAGTAATTTCCCCAAGTTGAGTCTGTTTTACCCATGACAGTAATTCCTGAGTGATATCTCTGCCCTTATCTCAACCCACGAGCCTTTCATTATATTTTCTCTTCCCTGTCCAGCTGAGGAGAAGTGATAGAGCAGCTCAGTGGGTGCCTGGTGTCCAGCCAAGGTCAACCCACCACACCTTTTCATGAATGTTAGCCATGTAAAAGCTAGGAATTTTTGGAAACTGGTCATTTTGATTCCCTCTGTGGTTAGTGGAGGGAAAACACTGGGCATCATCCTTGGCAATTCAGTACCATAGAAATCTGTCTGAGATAAGTGGGATGAATTGCCTTCTAAAAATGTGGATGTTTCTCCATTGTCTCTGTCTGTGGTGTAGACCACTAGCTGTGAATTCAGTGTGTAATTTTTAGATGGCTAAAGTTATGTGAGATACATCCTACCCTTTGTCTTGGCCATTTACTGTAGCCACAGGCCACAATGCCAAGCACCAGCAGTAACTGGAACAGATTTTATCATGTATAATTTTACGTAGTAATGTAACACAAGGTACAGGCTCTCATAAAATCAGTAGCTTTGTACATGAGATTTATTATGATTCAAAAAAGGCCATAGATAACACCCCTCAACACAAAACACAGGGGTTTTCTTCAACAAATCCATAAAAATTTAACCAAATCTTGTGAAATCTGTTCATTCAGTTTCAAATTTTTCACACAAAGCATTTGGCACTGTTCCCACAAGTCTTCTTAGTGCTCCTGAAGTGTTGGCTTTATTTTGAAAGTTCAAGCTTAACTTAACTGCAGAAGCATTATTTGCACCGTATTTGAAAAGTTTACCTCCATTGATACTTTTCACCTAAGGACAGAGAGGTGTGCCTGTTTGCTCAGCTTCTGGAATCTTATACACAAAAGCTAATTTTTAAAGCACACCATTGTCATATTCGGTACCGGTTCTTTTAAAATGGTAGAAGTTTACATGTGGTCACAAGTGGAGGAAAATAGACAAAGCTAAGATTTCATTAGAGGAAGGAAATTTAAAGACATTCTACTTTAAGGGTGGAATGTCATTTAGAGCACAAAATAAAAGCTTGAAGGTAAGGTCATGGGGAGAGCAGCTAGTTTTTTAGTTAAGATATCTCAATTTCATGGGAAATTGTAGACTACTTGAAAATGACGTGGTTAGCTAGTTTTCTTCCAGTAAACTTCTCCTGTTGATAATATTTTAGTGCTTCTACCCATGCTGGGCTTGCCGTCTGGGATTTCTTTGTTCCGTAGAAGACTATCCATCATTTTTCAGATGTTATAGGCAATACAGTCACCTAAGCAATGAAATATTTCTACTAAAATAAAATACATGTCACAGATAGGGAACATTTACATTTTCTGGTAATAAAAACTAACCACTTTTTAAGCAGCATTTGTCTAATTCTATATTTTAGTAATTTTAAAACTTGTAGGTAGGCATTATTGTTATTTTGTCTTGCTATATTTTCCAGCTTAATAGGAGAAGTCAGGTCTAATAGATTCCTCGAAGTGAAGACCCTTGCTAGAGTAGGAATAACTGGAACCTTCAGAAATAGTCCATCTCATGGCAGGACAGGTGGTATGAATGTTTCCCTAGGTTGCCTGGTTTTCCTATTGGCTTTGTAATACTACTGACTTGCATGCTGGTCTCTAAAAATACCTAAATATAAATAATTTGCACTGCCATACCATGCTCAAACGTTCAGTCCCATTTAAATTGTTGGGATTTCCACAGTTCAGATATTAATCTGTGTTTTCATGGACCTCTTGATCTTTGAAAAATCTGAATTTAGTGGTGTGATTCAGCTGGCAGGTTAAAACTTGCACTTGGTAGGTGTTTAATTTGTGAGCCATGTGTCTAACCTCCCTGTAACGAGCGGGGATTTCGTTAGAGCAGCCAGTGGAGTCTGAAGAAAGAGTTCAGCTAACAAAATGGCATTTCAACTTTAGAGTATGTGAAATCACCCTTTAGACTTCCTTGGCTGTGTTAATTACTTCTCTGTTGACTACAATGGCAGCTTAGACACCTATTAGGCCTGTGCATACATACAGTATGGATACCAACAATATAAGCACCTGTATTTCGATGTCTTCAGTTGCTTCCTACCCCATCGCCTGACTTCATATATTCTGCTTTATAAAGAAAATTCCTCATTTGCACCTTTCTATACTTGCCTGTGCCTATGTTGTGGCCTGAGATTAAAATGTATCATCTGTTACATGTTCTCCTGAGATTTAAAAACTCCCTGGGCCAAAGATCTTTTTACAAATAATGAATGATCCTGAAGGTACAGCACTGTGGGTTCTCAGCCAGCTGTCTTCTCACTTTTGACAACCTCAGGAAGAGAAGGGCAGTAGTGACGCTGGACAAGCGTCAGGAAAAAAATTGACAGAAGAAAGTGCCTTAAAGAAGTGTTCTGATGTTTTCTTAAGTTCTAAAGGGTACTTAGTGGCATCCTAGCTAATTCATCAGTTTAAATAACTCAATTTCTTTTACTTTCTAGGAATGATTTTGAAGAGTATTTTGACGTTGTGATCACAAATGCTTTGAAACCTGGTTTCTTCTCACACACCCCGAACCAAAGACCTTTCCGAACTCTTGGTAAGTTGCAGTCGTGACTCCCATCTCATCTGACTGGATGACATATTTTGAAAATCTAGCACAAGGGGAAAGCTGGACTCTACACAAAACCCTTCCAAAGATATTAGTAAAAAATTATCTTAAGACTGAGGAGCACTGAGAATTAAGAATTACAGTGCTGAGGACAATGAAAAGACAAAGCTGTGGCAGTAATTAAAAATGGCATTGAGGATCAGATATTGCATCATTAATGAAAAAGTAAGAATCCTTTTCTTTATTGTGATGACAAGTTCATACACAGAAAATTAAATTTAATTCTGGGAAAAAAATAGCAGAAATATTTGAAGAATTTAAAGGAAATTCAAAGAACAGTACAAATAAAAATGCAAGGCTGAAGGAAACTATTTATGATGGAAGTCTGACAGAATTAAATATGTGTACTTTGGCTAAATAATGACAGAGTAGGCAAAAAGGAAGTGCCCCTTTACTCACTTAATTTAATTAAAACAATCTGAAATGTTTGGCAATGTTGTCCATTAGGTAATTAAGGTTGCAACACAAGAGGTTTATAAGAACAGTGTTCATTGAACTACAAATAACAATAGTAACACGGCTGAAGACAGTTAATTTTTCCATATTTTGGCAAATACCCTTATGATTAAGTGCTACCTGAAAATTAATCTTATATCCAAAACAGTCAGCATATATTGAACTATATTTTAGCATTTTATGACAGGAAAGTCAGCCATTCCAGCCCAAAAGATATTTTGCCTGTGGAACTTTTACAGTAAAACTAAAATGAGCAGCGGAAATATATTATTGAAACTGCATTTTAACGTTTCTCCATTTTATGTAGGAAAAATAAGTGAGAAATATCTTAAATGTGATTTTTAAAGGATTAGTTCAAATAGGAAACTGCCAAGCTGACAATCTGAGAAAAAATAAGCTCAGAAGGGAAATTGAAACTGTTTGTATGAAATGGGGTCAGGGAAGCAAAAACATAAAGGATGCTTGTTCAGTTCTGCAAGCATTTTATTTAGTTTCATATAATGTAAATTGAAAATAAAATGTAATTCACTTTGGATATTTTTTAAACAATCAGATTAGCCTGACTTCCTAAGGAAATCCTGCTGTGTCCCTCTGTCAGTAATCCAGCCAGCAACTTTTGAACCTGTGGGCCAGTTCCAGTAAATTTAATAGACAGCCAGAAAGCTCCAATATATTTCAACAAGGGATAATTTTTGTGCAAAACAGGGCAGAACAGAGGCAAAAGACTTGAAATTACTGTCTCCATTGAGACATACTGTGTAGCATTGTCTTAATCACATTAGATTGTAAGAACCAATTTTCATGAAGCTGTTTTTTTAGCTCATGCGTTCAAACAGGAACAGCATCCCCTGGAGTCCTCCTACTGACCTACTGGTTTTCATTCACTTTATATTTTGGCGTTGCAAAGAGGCTCGAGTGAGGGTTGATCACTCATTACATTAATACCTTATTAATACAGAATAAAATGTAGTTTATGTTCTGGTGACCTCACTATCTAAATAGATAAGGGACGCAAATGTAACTAAAGCAATCATCAGCTAAATAATTTGCTGAAACTACTAGCCTGTGAGTGGATTTTTAAAAATATATTTGTATTGGATTGACAGTAACTTGCTTCTTGTGAAAGACCAACCAGAACATTCAAAGCAAAGACTTATACATGCAGGAGAGGTTTTTAGAGACATGTTTTGAAGTCGTGAAGAGCTTGTTTAAGAGTATGTGAAGTTTAAACCATCAAAATAGGAACAATAATATGAGAAAATGTCTGAAATAATAATGTATTTTTATAATGTATCTTTTGCTGCCCTCCCTCTGTGTTCCTCACAACAAACATATAGCTTCAGGGGAGGCACTGATGGTTTCACCCAGTCACTGCGGTTATCAAGGGACACAGTTCATTTCTGGAACGGCATACGGTGGAGTTTCTAATACATTGCAGGGGATGGGGGTGTCCAGTTTCCAGGTGTTTTTTAAGGCTTTCTTTCATATCAGAACCACTGAAAATTCAACATTTCAGTTTCCAGTTTCTGTCTCCATTTTACCACTATAGATTTCAGCCAGAAGAGTTTAGCCACTGTGCTTCAGACCCTCTCTTCTCTGAGAGCACTGGACATAATATATCAAAGACACAAAATTTGGTTTTGCTTTGAGATAGGAAAAAAAAAATAGAGGTGGACATCATAGTAAATATTTTCTTAAAGCACAAAGAGTGAACTTTTGTTACTATAATTTAGGGAAAAAAGCTCCAGTAAGTGAAACAAAAGCTTGTTCTGTGAAGAATTTTGTTGCAGAAAATGAACTGAAGTAACTGCTTATCAATCCTATCCATTTCTTCAGGGCTGCATTTCATCCATGGGTCTGAATTACAATAAATTTCTAATAATACCGTACTCCCTTCTATTCCCAGGGAATTGTGTTATAAATAGACTTAAGGCACAAAATACGGAATGTGTTCTTAATTTCAAACACCACAAGTGTTGCATTGTGTACCAGAGCTAAATTTTATTTATATATAACAGGTCTTTTGCTGCAGATTTACTAAGGGAAAGGTTTCGAAGTTTACTAAAGCGAAAGATAAATTCTTTTCAGTGAATAATTTCAAAAAGGCGACTGTATTCAGTAAACATTTGAAGAAGGATGAGAAACAGGACAAGATGACAAGGAAGGCATTGTCTAGAAATGTGATATCAGATAACTGCTCTGCAGAAATGCTTTTTCGGTAGAGCAGTAATTTTAAAACTAATCTGTTTAGAAACTATGAACAATTATTTTAATTGTGCGATTAAAAATGCATCGCTGCTTCGTTTGAGTCTCAAGACATTCATCATGTAAAGCAACCAAAACACTGAGATCTTAAAAGATTTGTGTGACTGCATTTTACTGAACTGGGGCACTGGAAAGCAAAATAATTAATTACTTATTTGCATAATTTTCTTTTGAAGTACCATTCTGTTAAATGGAGAAGTGGTTTGTATGTATCTTTCCAGGTTTCAGAACAGCTACATTTATTTTTACCTGGCAAAACAGTTTTTATAGTTAGGGGTAGCTTATGTAGCAAAGCACATAGTTTATGAGAAAAGTGCTATACAAAAAAAAAGTTTACTCTCATAATACAAATACCCCATAGTTTCCTTGTTATTCACAAGTTTACATTTTCTTTTACACGGGGAAATCCTTTAAATGGTCTTGAAAGTACTAATAGTATCTTGAGCTATTGGATCTAAGGATCAGGTCAAAAATGTTTGTGTAAATCCTATGTTGAGAATGTAGGGTTTTCTTTGCTTTCAACAGCTACATCCAGCTTAAAATAATATATCATTCTGTGAAGGACTTGAAGGAATACAAATAGCAAATACAGTTGTGAGTCATCAGATAGTCTGCAGTACACCAAGATTCCTGTAGCATTTGGCAACAGAGCTTTCCCTTTATCGCATCATTCGTTAATGTCTGTCAAATTAGTAGCCTGACTGCCAGTTCTGATCATTGTTGAATATATTTTTTAGAATGAAAAATTAAAACAGAAATGCTAAAGATAACCCTAAATTGCCTGAAAGCCTTCTCTAAGTCTGTGTGCACAGGGAATTCGCACTTGGCCCTCAATTAGACTTTTATATCTTTTATTTCCAGCTCAGGAACAGTTACTGTATTTTTGATCTGGTTTTGTTTTTGTTTTTTTTTTTTATAAACTGAAAATGTGTCTGAATGTTCAGTGTCTGAATATACAATGCATATCTAAGAGTGTACGTATATTTTAATATATATGCACACATATATGTACAGGCCAAAACCAATTGTGTGTGTGGAGTGGCAGTGGATGCCATATTGCTGTGAGATCGTGTGCTCTTGTCCAGTGCCCAGAGAAACAACCCTGCTCTCCTTCTCCTGTCGGGAATCTCAGGTTTTCAAAGCCCACTTTCAATTGCACTTCCAGGCTCTCTGCCTTATTCTTGCAGTTGGATTTCTGTCCAGCTTACAGTGCCTCTGCTACATGATATAGCCCCCAGTTTAGGAAACTCTTTCAGTCCTCCAATTTTTTACAGTTCTCTAGGAACTGCCATTTTAACAATACACGGCAGAAGCTTTTTTCTTCCTCCAGTCATTCCTCACTAGCCTTCTAAAAATGCAGGAAAATGCTGTAAACTGAAAGGACCAATTAAAGAAGAAAATAAGGGGACAGGATATAAAATGACATAGTTCTAGGCTGAAGACTGTCTTTGATTATTAGGGGCTGCAAGACTTCAGAAGAAGGAGGTGATCTCATATCTGCTATTTAAGTTTTCTTCTTCCATCTTCCGTGACATCTGGGCTTGAGTATTGCCAGAGATGGGATACAGAGCTGGGTGGAGAATCAGGGCTGATCCTATATAACTATTTTTATGCATTTGTATTCTAAGACCTTTTAGGCCTAATGAGTAGGGTCAGGAAGGGAGTGCCTTAATTTTCCTGGAAGTTAAATTTGTAAGCCATATAACTTCTTTTTAGGTCATTCCTTTTGTTTGAGACTTCTGACTTTACTGCCAGAAGAATACCAAAATGCTACCCAGTAAATATTTTAAAGACCTTTAGTAAAACTGTAGAATATCCGTAAAAAATGTGGAAATTTTGAAGCAGATGATATTCACCATTACAGGGGAATATATTACTTAAATAGTCTTGCATTGTTCACTTATTTGAAGAACATAAATGTCATTTCTAGAAAATTCTGATTAAATTTGCAACTGAAACATGTTGAATTGAGTCTACAACGTAGCTCAGTTGCTATAATTGCTATGTAATACGTATCTCAGTTGCTACCTCTACAGTGAAGGCCACTTTGATAAGAATAAAACTTTTTTTTTTTTCCTTTTAAATCAGCCTGTGAGGTTAAAACTCCAAAGAGCTTGTCTTGTCTTTTTGCCTATGTTAGTTGTTCCACTCATTTCTTCTTACCAGCCTTGTCTTGCTTTAGGTCATCAGATCTTCCTATTTAAAGG